GTAAAAGATCAATACATCACAGTTACACATGGACCTGTTAGGTTTCTCGGGTGGGAAATACCTCAGTTCTTGGCTTCCCATGAGAAAGAATTCACCCCAAAGCTTGGTTTGTGATCCAAGTGGGCTTTTTTTTTTTCCAAGTGGGCTTTTATAAAGGATGGGAGAAGTTTCAGGTTTTACAGTCATGGACATGGACAACCTTGTGGGACTGCACCCCCACATGTGGCAGCCTGAGGCCGGAGAGAGACTGCGGTATGGCCGAGTGGAAAGCAGAGAAGCAGCCGAGGGGAAAAGAAAGAGGTGGCCTCCAGGTTCCAGCCTTCAGGGCCTTCGGCTGGGAGGCGTGGTCAACAGTACTGGTTGACCCCATTGGCTGAGTTAAGCCCACCTGGCCAAGTTTGGGCCAACCCAGGTATACTGCCCACCTGGCTGGGGTGGGGGGAGGGCTGAATTTGGAGCATGCCCCTTATCCTTCATTGGCTTCCAACCTCCATCAGGGGGTCTTAGGCATGGAGAGGAACAGCCCTGCTTTTCTGCTATCTAACAGGATGCCAGAAGCTGGACTGCAACCATGATTGTAACATGTACATTATGTTAGATAGAAGAGTTTACAAGATGGATCCAGGGCCTTCTGACCAAGGCAGTCAGGGCAGGACTCATAGGACATGATCCATGATAAAGAGACCTCTAGTAAGGTGATCTCCACACCCAGGCAAGCCACTTGGCTGGTCGGTTGAATCCACAGTCATGCCATGGAGGGATCCTTCAAGAAATCAAATGATGCATCCGCTGTGGATGAGTCTGTTGCAAAAGACCTCTTTCGGGTGTGAAAAAAGCAAAGCTGTCACTTTGAGGACTAAGGTATGCCAGACCCAGGCCAGCTTACTTTCCATCGCCTCATGTGCATGTGAAAACTGGACAATAAAAAGTAGTCTGCTCCACCCTGGCTGGCTAGGGGGAGTGGAGGTCATCAACTTTGCAATGTACTCTCCCCAGCCAAAGGTCAAAAACAAGTCAACAGAGACTTAAGATCTACATGGCGGCTCTGTCAATGGATTTAGGACTCTCACTGTCTTCCATAGCCTTCTGCAAACCAGATGCTCAGAATTTAAGCTCTAATACAGGTGGTGTAATCCATACTGAAGACTATTCACCTTTTATCTTTATCAGTAAGTGCTTCAAGTCCTCTTAGCATACTCCAGTTTGTTAATGTCTTCCTCCATTCCTGATGCAACGTTTTTCTTCATATAGTCCAACTCTCAGAACACTAGACAGCTCACTAACTGGCGCTATTATATCTGCCACAACCAGCATGATGGAGAATCAAGAGGCCACCACTGGACTTCTTGCATTTAAGAACACATCATTGCATAGAGGATTCATGGATCTAGAATTTGGGGATAGAAGCTGGTTCCTGGGAACTGGAGGGCTGAGTTTGGCTCACAGCATCTCAAAGATGCTTCTGCTCACTCATGAATCTGGAGATCAGCCACTAACAACTGCTCGCAATTTCAGGACCTTGTCTGCCCTCAGGAGTCATCCAACAGCCACTCCTCCTTTCAAATCTCACCGACTGCATGAATCCATTCATAGCTGGTATCGAACTGCAATCAAACCTGGGAAATAAAGTTTCAGTTTTGTGTATTACGGAAGAAACAGATGCTGAGTTCACATTCCAACCAAAATAGACACAGAAGTAGGTTTGTATGCTCAGTATTGAGAAGGTTCAAGTTTTCTGCCAGATTTGCTATTATTTTCCTTGAGTTTTAAAATAGCTCCAGACATTTTAAAGAGTGAAGCATTTTGTTGAAGTCCCACTTAATGCTGGTGATCACGGCGGATTAATCAGTGAACCCGGGATGCACCAGTTTGCACTCAGCAAGGCATGCATGACTTAAGTGCTTACTTTCTAATCTGTAGTGTGTTATTCTTATGGGATTCCCCACATAGCTGATGTGGTGGGGGACAGGTGACATTGTGCACTTCCAGTCGGTGGGAAGGCACCACTGGCCCCATGCTTGTTGAGTAATCTGGCCTTACTTGGGGTCTTGAATTTATAGGGAGCAGCTGGCCTACATTGTATGCTGTTCTCCAACTGTGCTTGACAGTTGGGTACCCGCAGAGAAATGGTGCAGCGGAATTAACTTAAGGTTAGAATTCTGATCACATCCATGTGCCAAAGAAGCAGGGGTACAAACCAGTTTAGGAGGTTGCCAGACTTGTCAAAATTATGGATCATTGGAAATAAAGAGGATGAAAAAGGAGAAAGCCTGTGCTTTGAGGAGGCAGAGAAGTCCCTAGTCTAGACATGCTGAGAAGGTGGAAGGTTTCGGCTCAGGGAAGCCAGTTCCAGTCTCCAAGTTCTTTGTGATCACACACTCAGGCAAACCCTAGATGCTTAGAAATAAAAGCAAAATCGGGCATCTGCGATGGCAAAAAGGCTCGGCTTTGGGACCACAACTGGGTTTCCATTTCCAGTTACAAGATTCATGGCTCTGGGCAATTCTTTCTCCTTTGCTGGGTCTCACCCTTCTTCAAAATGTTGACAAGAGGCCAGCTACAAGCAAATCTGGTGGGGCACGTTTGGGGCTGCTAACCCCAGGGTCGGCGGTTCAAACCCACCAGCTGCTTCGCGGGATAAAGATGAGGCTGTCTGCTCCTTACAGTCTCAAAAACCCTATTTAGGGTGACTATGAGTCAGAATAGACCCTATGTGAGTTTAATTTGGTTTTATGGTCTGCTTGAGGATTTGGTGATACATGTAAATCGTTTAACACAGGGCCTGGTACGCAAAAAACGCTGAACACCTGGCAGCTGTTGTTATATTTGACACAGAAAATCAACGACGAAGTACTACTTAGACAATTCCAAATGCACTGGAACGTAGAACTTTTGGACAGCTACGCGCATGCGCCTGTCCATAGTCGCGCTGCTGGCGTGGGCGCTGCGCATGCGCCGGAAGTCGTAACCGGGAAGGCAGCGAGGTCGATTCCGCCCGACTCTAACATGGCGGCGCCCTTTG